GTAATCAATACAAGGTCAGTGCCCTAAAACCAGTTGCTAGCCTCAACAAAAGTAAGATCATTAAATTGAGTTAATTTTGTTGCTATTTGCTATTGCATTAGTTTTGACTTACTGTAACTGAATGGATGAGAGACCATCAAGATCCTGGTATCAACTGTCCTGCTCAGATCCCGCAAAGTCAGGGCCATTAATTGAATCAACACATCTGTAGTGGGTCTCCCTCTTTTCCAATGCCTTCCACTTTGCCAAGCATTTTTGTCTTTTCCAAAGTGGTTCCAAAGTGAATCAAGTGCTCAGTAGTAAGTCAACAATGAAATCCCATATAGATTTAGTAGGACTGCTGTAGCTGGTATTTAGGCCAAAATGCTTCAGTATTTCCACTACCTGCCAGTTATATATTTGATTTATATCCCACCCTTTCTCATAAAAAACATATCCTCCAATATATGTCTTTAACCATGAAGACACTATAACAAGACAATCCAACATGAATCAAGAGACAATTCCAGAAGATGAAACTCCCAGGTTGGATGGCACTCAACATGCTACTGGGGTACAGCAGAGGACAACTACAAGAAGTATTATGGCTAAGAACACAACTGAACTCAAGATGAAATGATGTTTGGCTTCTGACTTGCTTATAAGAACATGGAACGTGAGAAGCATGAAACAGGAAACACTAGGCATAGTAAAACAAGAAATGGAATGTATAAACATTGCAATACTTGGGGTGAGTGAGCCAAAGTGGACAGGAATGGGACATTTTCTTAAAGAAATAGATGTGCTACAACATTTGATTGTTCTGATGCATAACCTATACTTATGACAAGAAGCTACAGGACAGAATACTGAGAAACTGGATGGTTTCCAATTGTCAAGTGAGGGTATGCTTTAGTTCTATGGATACTATGGTAAAATACAAATAAATGTGTTCTAGAGCAAATAAAATACAGTGGTCCCTCCACATTTACTGGGGTTGGGGGTGAAGGACTGGCATGAATGTGGAAAAACCGCAAATAAAAAACACACTATTCTTTTTACCTGAGATAACACCTCTCTAGGATTCTCCAGGTCCTCCAGTGCAATTCTATGGTCAACATCTGCCAGAAACTGATCATAGAATCATGCCAAAGGACCTACAAATGCCTAGAGAATGCCTAGAAGTGATTTCTCTAGGAACTTCTAGGTTCTCCCGCACAACTCTGTGGTCAACTTCTGGCAGAGTTGTGCTGGAGGATGCTTAGGGAGCGTTAGTTCACTGATAAGTGGTATATAAATATACTTGCTATTGCTGTAGAAATTCCTGGAGAGAACATATTAATCAAAACTGCAAATAATCAAATTTGCAAAAGTCAAAGTCACAAACGTGGAAGGCCAATTGTAATGTGATTCCTAGAACAATAAAATAAAAAGGACAAAAAATGTGTCCGAGAGCAAATAAAGTCTGAACTCTCCCAAGAAGCGACTATAACTAAAGGCGGTCATACTTTGGCCATATAATGAGAAAACATGGCTCACTAGAAAAGCCACTAATGCTTAGTAAGGTAGAAGGCAGCAGGCAAAGAGGAAGACTGCATTTCAGACTGATAGACTCAAGAAAAGAAGTCACAGCCCAGAATCTGCAGGACCTGAGCTGATGGTAGAAGGTCTCCTATTCAAAGAATCACCATACATTGAAGTGGACTTGATGGCAGTTAACAACAATATTTACACTATACTAAAAGTGTGTAAGATCTTTGCCTTTATGTGTGCACATCATTCAGGCTGAACGCCAATAAATTCTGCCATTAGCAATGCATTTTTGCCCCCAGTCACTGAAGGTAGGAGGCTGCAACAACAGTTTAGAAGTGGCTTTTCATCCTTTTTACTTTCTTGGGAATTATAAGATGGGGAGATTTGCCCTTTGTAAGCATTCCAGTTCAAAAGTCCCTAATATCTAAATCTGTATTCCAACATGGCTTTGCAAAACAGGAAACTCTGTATCTGGGACAATACAGTTCCATCAAGAACCTGAGACCTTTTACAAAATGCATTTTCCATATTTCTTTCCATGCAAGAAACTAGAAGCACTTCCTTTATTGGCAGCTTAAAATCTATCCACATGAGAAAACATGCCAAGTAGATCATCCAAAGTATTTTGGATGCAGAAGAAGAGAGCTCCAATCCTTGTTTTATCAGAATATCTTTACAGTTGTTTCTTTACAGGCCTCATTACCTTGGTGGTGACTATGACCTATATAAGCGTGTCCTGGCACTGTCTCTTCTCCTCATGCTGGGTGAAGCCTACTGGAGGGCACTGGCCCAGACTAGGCCTTATGTTCCAATTATATTGCCTATTAAGGATTTAAATGTCATTTAAGCAGAGCTGAAGACAGCCTGTGGTGAGAGCTGTGTGGGGTCAGATTTCACATCATGAGAGCAGATGAGTTTAGTGGCTAAGTACTAACTGCTTCTCATTTCACACTCCAAGGTTCAAGTGGCAAGACTATCTCTGCAGACCTCTCTTGTCCGTGTGTGTGTGTGTGTGTGTGTGCCTTCAAGTTGTCTGTTGACTTATGGCAACCCCATGAATTTCATAGGTTTTTCTCAGGCAAGGAATACTCAAAGGTGGCATTGCCAGTCTCTTTCCCAGAAAAATAGCCTACAGAACCTGCTATTAGTTGGCAATCTCCCACTCAAGTACTATCCAGATCTGACCCTGCTTAGCTTCCAAGTTCAGAAAGGATCTGCTATCTTTATGGTATTTGTCCTTATAAGCATTCTAAGACCTGATTGCTTAGTCTATAGTAGGCAGGGGAGGATGACTCCATTTTTAAAACCTCTGTTTTTGAATGTAAAATGGGAGAAGCAGCTGACTATCAATTTCAGAGGTATGGCAAGGGTACTTAGGTTAAACAACATATTTCTCTAGCGGCTGTCTTAATAGTAGATGGTGCCACTTTACTTGAGTGTTCTGTGTTTCCTTTAAATTTAATCCATAGTGGTAGCATATGTAGAATTAATTTTTAAAAACATAAAGAGGAAGTGTTATTATTGTAACAACATATTAAAATGCATAAATACTGTTCACTGTAAACACAGCAACAAGCTGAGAGTTTGCTTCCTTTTTATGTAGAAAATGATCAAATACATAGCTAGAATTTTGAATTATAAATCCTTTATTTTTGCTAAGAATAGTCTTAAAATAGGAAGACAATGATTAGTAAAAGGCAATGCTAGAACATCTGATTTTATAAAATGTGACATGATTGTTATGCACAACTCAGAAAAGTGTTCACCATCCATCAAACCCCTTCAATAGACTATGGAAGAGAGAGTACTACGAAGCATAATTTTTAAAAGAATCATAAAGGAAATCTCCAAGCCTTTAATCCATTTATTTAACATTTGTAATTGTAAAGTAAAAGGGATAAATGAGTTAAATACAACCACATTTCAATAATAAGATTTTAAACTTATGTACTTTTCCTTGTTTCTTTTCAAAAATATTTTCCTGTTTCTTTTCATTTTTGTATTTGGAAAGTCAGTATTTTTTTTAAGTTAGGTAATACTAATATCCAAAAGAACTGAACATTCTACATGATTCTCTTCTTTTCTAACTACACCTGAGTTGTGAAAAAAACCTTAATTATATAATGTACATTCTCATTTTAAAAGCATCAGCTGTCCTAGGATTCCCCACAGTCTCATCGTGCATTCCTAAAATGGAGCACTATTTTTCTATTTATTTTAAAAGGTGTTTACTATTCTAAATATGTTTCATCATGGTAGTCATTAGCTAATGGCCTCATCTTCCTAAGACACAATGATAAACATTAAAAATCAATTTATTTAACATTTGCTTCACACAAACATGAGAAAAGGCATTAATAGTCACAAACCCAAAGTCACAAAACAAATAAAAATGCAATCTAGAATATTTTTTATTCCAAAGACTAATGGTATATATTTTTTAAAGACACACGCGGAAACAAATGTATTGTTTCACAGAACAATGATTTGTACCTGATATTCTAGGAAACTTTTCATACTATTGTCTGTTTTCAGGAACATACTCCTGTGTATGAAATTATTTTATACAGAGTCAGACTCCTCTCCCCACTCACCCACTTAGCCCAACCTTGTCTACCCTTACTGGCAAAACTTTATAGCAGGAGTAGGAATAATGTGGCCCACCTGCTATTGCTGAAATGGCTATATCCACTAGGGCTCATGGGAACTGCAATCCAACCACTTGTAAATGGTAAGTACCATTCCCAAATCTGCTTTACAGTTTTTCAGACAAGAGACTTATCGACTGTTAACTAATGCTTTTAAATAGAGTGGGATTGCAAAGAGCATGTGAAAAATGAACAGACCTTTATATTAGCAAAATGTTTCTGCTTCTGTCTTCTTCAGTTTATCAAAATAAAAGGAGCTTTTTCCAAGGTGGTAATTTAATGCTCTCTTTATTTTTTGAACATTTTATTTTGAGAAACTGAAGGAGGCAGGAGCCAAAAAGTTTTACTAAATATTCATAAGGTTTGATTTGTTTATCACTCCAATAATTATTTTATCTGATTAACTGAAATAATGTAGTCTGACACCACTTTAACTGCCATGGCTCAATGCTGTGGGATTCTAGGATTTGTAGTAACATGAGATATTTAACCTTCTCTGCCAGGATTCTGGTAACACTACAAACTATGACTCCCAGGATTCCACAGCACTGAGCCATGGCAGTTAAAGCAGTGTTAAACTGGAGTAATTCTGCAGTCCAGATGCAGTCTTAATGTTTCTGGGGTTGAGAATAAACTTTTCAGAACTGCCATTTGTTTGTTGTTGAATTACATGTTGTTGTTGTTGTTGTTGTTGTGTGCCTTCAACTTGTTTCTGACTTTTGGAGACCCTATGTCAAACCTATCATGAGGTTTTCTTAGCAAGAGTTGTTCCGAGAAGGTTTGCCATCACCATCCTATGAGGCTGAGAGTGATTTGCCCAAGTGACCCAGTGGGTTTCCATGGTTGAGCTGAGAATTGAACCTGGTCTCCAGAGTCATAGTCTGACATTTAAACCACTATGCTACACTGGCTCTCGTGTTGAATTATACACACATATGTAAATATTTGTTGTATGTGTGTTTGTGTGCATGCATTTGTAGGCACACAACACATGTAATGTAGTATCACTGAGCCATGGCTCCTCCTTGGGTGTCAAATGCCTCTCTGTCCTGATCCTGACCCGGCTATTTTTTCTGAATTTTCACATCACCAGCAAATTTCCAAATGCTCACATCTGTGGAACATGCATATCATAGAATCACAGAGTTGGAAGAGACCTCGAGGGCCATCCAGTCCAACCCTCTGCCATGCATGAAGACACAATCAAAGTACCCCCGACAGATGACCATCCAGCCTTTCTTTAAAAACCTCCAAAGAAGGAGACTCCACCAGTCTCCAAGGGACTGTGTTCCACTATTGAACAGCTCTCACTGTCAAGACGTTCTTCCTAATGTTGAGGTGGAATCTCTTTTACTGTAGCTTGCATCCATTGTTCTGGGTCCTATTCTCTGGAGCAGCAGAAAGCAAGCTTGCTCCATCCTCAATATGACACCCCTTCAAATAACCTTCTCTTCTCTAAGCTAAACATACCCAGCTCACAGGGCAGGGTTTCAAGACCTTTCATCATTTTGGTCATCCTTCTCTGGTCATATATATTCAGATATGTCTATCTAAGTCCAAAAAGAGGAAAATGAGAGGAAAGGAATTATTGCTCAGCTCTCAATTCTGTGCCATCTTACCCAGGCAAATTTGGGTTGGGGCAGTGCTGTCTCTATCAATATCTTTGCTTCTTTAATCCATTTAGAACAAAGCAAGTTGTGGTGACCCTCCCAGTTTATGGAAGGCTGATTCACTGAGCCATTAGAAAAGTTTCCAATTCTCCTCATGACATGTTTGTATTGTTTAATCAAACCACTGATAAATGTGTTCTTTTTTATTCCAATTGATTTCTTTTCAAAGCTTTCCCTTTCCACCTGATTTGTTAAGTACCTGCCCAGTCCACATCTTGCTGACTGGAGATCTCCTGGGCTTCCATTCTCTCTCTATCCACCCCCACCTCCCCAGCTATCAGTTTTCACTGCAGGTTATTCATTGGCCAATTGTTAGAGCTTATTTTAGTACTTAAAAAGTGTATTGAATGAATTGCTTTTAATTATTGCACTAGATCTGCTTTTACAGTGGCTACTGAGTTCTGTGCATGCAGGGATACAATACTCTGGAAAGCGCTGAAAAATCCATACCCCAGTCTCTCTCGTATAGCTGCAACTGTCAGAAATTTTAAATTACATTTGAGGAAAATAAATATAGGCTACAAAGGCTCTTCTTACTCATCTGGTGTGCCAGGAGAAGGATTTACTCTCATTCTACCCATTTAGACTTGTTTCTTTATCTGAGCGATGGATCGATCATGTGTGTGTGTG